ACAGCTGGCCTCAGGGCCTACGCAAGTATGTGTTTCCCCCAGTGAGCCAGTGAGCCTTCTCGCACAGACACTGTGCAAGATCAGGGAGGACGGGGAGCAGGTCCTCTTAGTAGCCCCATACTGGCCCAGTCAGACTTGGTTCCCAGAACTGATGCTCCTCGTGACAGCCCCTCCTTGGCGTTTTTCTCTGAGGAAGGATCTCCTTTCTCAGACAGGGGGCACTCTCTGGCACCCGCGCCCAGACCTGTGGAATCACCACGCGGTCTCTGGACGGGACGCGAAGGTCCTAGGTGGTCTACCCCCAGTGGGAGTAAACACCATCACTTCAGCTAGAGCGCCCTCTACAAGACAAGCTTACTCGCTGAAGTGGAATCTGTTCGTTGATTGGTGTTCTTCCCGGCGGGAAGACCCCCGTAGATGCCCGATCGCAGTTGTGCTCTCCTTTCTGCAAGAAGATTTGGAGCGAAGGCTGTCTCCCTCCACCCTCAAAGTGTATGTCGCCGCTATTGTCGCGCATCACGATGCAGTGAACGGCAAGTCCATGGGGAAGCACGACCTGGTCACGATCCGGTGGTGAACTTGCAAGCACTGCCCCGGGAGGAGGCAGACCCAGCCATTGCTCTGCTCTGTCCCGTTCGTGCTTTGCGCATTTACGTGGACTGCACACAGAGCTTCAGGACCTTAGACCAGCTCTTTGTCTGCTTTGGAGGACAGCAGAAGGGAAAGGCTGTCTCCAAACAAAGACTTGCCCACTGGATAGTGGAGGCTATAGTCTTAGCATACCAGGCCCAATGTTTACCGTGCCCCATTGGAGTGAGAGCACACTCTACGAAAGGCGTGGCATCTTCTTGGGCACTGGTGCGGGGCACCTCGATAGCAGACATCTGTAGAGCTGCCGACTGGGTGACACCTAACACGTTTGTGAGATTCTATCATCTCCGTGTAGAGCCTGTGTCCTCTCGTGTACTTGCCTCAGATGGTCAGAGACATCGGACCCGCTCGGTGTCGATCAACGGTTGCCACACCATTCCCCTCTACGAACCGGATACGTGCGCTTAAGTTCTTCTCAGTTCAGTTTCCCATTTGGTGAACCCTGTTGAAGTTCCTCCCGCACCCTCGGCAGTCAGGCGTAGCGGAGCACCAGATGCCAGGTCCAGCACTCGTGTGTATGCCCAAGGTCAGCCCTTGTGCTGGGCTAGGTGCCTGTGTGTAGTGATTCCCCCTTCGGGTGATCCCACATGTGTATTCTTCCACGGTACGGCTCCCCTCTCAGTGAGCCCGTGTCTTTCCCTGGCAGAGATTCCCTGCCGTCTCTGCTGTGTATTGATCGCTTTCATAGGGATCCCAATTCGTCATTCACTTCTGGATGTGACCAGGTGGATGCTGCACACTGGTGGTGGTTGAGGAGATTCCCCCTTCTATGTAAAGCACTTTGAGTGCCCAGAAAAGCGCTATATAAATGTAAGGAATTATTACTTTTTTTTTGCTGACGTAACGTGACTGCCTGAAAGGGAATGTCTCGGTTACGTATGTAACTCTAGTTCCCTGAAGGAGGGAACGGAGACGTTACGTCCCGTCGCCACAGTTGCTGTACCACCGCTGTACGGCCGAGGCACACCATCTCAGTGAAAAACTGAATGTGCGACTGCACTCGCTCTCCTTATATAACCGCGCTGCAGGGCGGGGTGCGCGACGCAAAGCTCGCACTCCAACACTTATTGGCTTGTTTTGTTAACACTTGAAGGTGATTGGACTCTCTAGCGAGATCCCAATTCGTCAGTCACTGCTGACGTAACGTCTCCATTCCCTCCTTCAGGGAACGAGGGTTACACAAGTAACCTAGACGTTTTTTGTGCCTGTCTCTTTAAATGCAAATGAGCTGCTGATCCCCGCCCCCCAGTCAATCTACTCCACAGCCAATCACGGGCCCCCTCCTTGCTCGGGCCCCGGGGCTTCAGCCCCGCCTAGCCCAATGGTTAAAACGGCCCTGCATACAGTGCATGCAAGATATAATAACAACTGTAAACTAAATGTTTTATATACATTTAAAATATATTTCTAATTTAAAGTTGACATTTATTAACCATACCATGCAACTGTGCCATTTCTTCATTCCAAAGAACTTTTGTTTAGTCTTTTATTTCATTTAAAATTAAATATACATTAACTACATTATTGGAAATGAAATATTATTGTAATATTTTCTTTACATATAATTGATACAGCAAGACAGTATTCAAAAGGGCAGTAAATATAAGGTTATATAAAAGTCAAAATTCCAATTATACAAATATGTGTGTTATCTTTATAAAAGTGTTTCTATATGTTCGAACATATAGTTTAAAAAATTGTTCAAAAATATACCCAGGCAAAATAAAAAGTGTGCACTTCCATAATGTACTTAAAGTGCTCTATTTTCATGCACTAATTTTGTACTTAATATACTATAAATTATTATTTAGTACTACTTAAGATAATCTTAAAAACATCTAAGTGTACTCAAATGTGCTATTTTGGGACACCATGAATATGAATTAAAATGTGCTTTTAACACTTTCTCTGGATTAAAAAAAAATATTTAGTCACCACTTGTAGTACATTTGAACCAATCTTTCATACACTAGGGTTCAAGTGTACTACATTACCTTAAGAAATACTAACAAATATTTTTAGTATATTAAGTACAAAATTCGTGTGTCAAAATAGAGTAATTTAAGTACATTATTGAAGTGCATTTTTTTCTACTGGGTAACATTAGGATAATTTTTGTGAATTTTATCCTCCAAACTAAAATTTCAATATCACTGTATTTTTTGTGTTTCGCCACATTAGCATATATTCAGACAAGAGTCAACTATAGAGACCAGCATCTCAGCAATGTGAGGATCCTCAAGATTGTTAAGACACCAAAAAATTATAGCCGTCAGGATAAACATGTGTTTCAGATCAGGTCATGATTTTTTTTTTACGATGATAATTTGCTGCAGCCTCAAACACGTGATGGCACTCTTGTGTATTGGTATTTTCTGATTACACCAAATAAGATTAAGAACAGTATGTCCATTCATTCTGCTACATAATTCAATTTTTAACTTAAAGTCTGATTGGAGTGGCTTCAGTTGGGTGACTCCTCCTTCACTTAGAAAATAAGACCGAGCCTGACCAGAGTACTGCGCAAACGTCCTGGGAGTGCCATCATCATCCGAAGATACCAACATGAAACCTCAGAGTATACTTGTCTTGCTTGTGCTTGTCGTATTAGCATTGCACTGTAAGTTTTGGGTGTTTTGCATTTAGTGATAGAAGTGTTTAAATTGACTAACTTTTTATTTAAGGCATAAGTGCTTGTGTAAACCTAAAACTGGGAAATCTTGAACAGCAAATCTCATGGATAAAATCATGGATACATGGCTCCAAATCACTTTTGGCTCATTTTACTGTATCTTTCAGTGCTAAAGCATTTAATTTCTGTCTAAGGCAAAGAGAATGAGGCTGCGTCATTTCCCTGGAGCTGTGCAAGTCTCAGTGGAGTTTGCAGACAAGGAGTGTGTCTGCCTTCTGAGCTTTACTTTGGACCCTTAGGCTGTGGCAAGGGATTCTTGTAAGTTCTGGTATATGCCTAATATCATAGCAATAATCTGTCATATCAGTTATGAACTATATTAAAATATACTTCTATTTTTCCTCTTTTTTCCAGGTGCTGTGTATCACATTTTCTTTGAGAACTGGAAATGATGTTCCTCAAAATTCCACTATGTGAATCCAGCCTTACCTATGATAATTCTCTGCTTTAACTCATCACATGACTGCATGTTTGATTTGGGATCATATACATGGAGATGCCTTAAGGATTAACATATTTTAAATGGTCTTGTATATAACACTGATTGTCATCTAATGGCATCTGATGATCAAGAATTTCAAACATTCATGTTAAGGCGAACCATACAGTTTATTACATGGAATAGTTGCCTTTAGGTCTTCTGATGAACTGTTATTTTGTCTGAATATATAAAACAGCACTGATACAATAATAAAACTAATAGGCTATTGTTTACCTCTCTGTCAATTTGTGATTCCAAGGCTTTTTAAAACCTGTTCTCGAAGACAATGAATTTGTAATATGACCTAGGAGGAGAATTTTTTTTATAAAATAATCAGTTCTGTGGTTGTCAACTATCAGCTGAAACCAAAAGTGGGCAATCCATACTTAAGTGACTTGCACAGCGCAAACAGGTTATTCATTTGAACAGCTATTGTTGCTACAATAAAAATGTTACTTGGCACCACTGTAAAATAAAACAAATAAAAAAATAAAACAAAATAAAATACTTACCAAATCTGAACGCTTGTTGCATTGTTTTAGCTACGGCAGTAACAAAGCTGTTAGCAGGGATGGGCAGTATTTGAAATACATGTATTTGAAATACAAAATGCTATTTTGTTTTTAAATACCTTTTTGCATTTAAATACATTTAATCTTAGTATTTTTGTATTTTCAAAATACACAAGGTACTTTGCCAATCAACCTCCTTATTAGACTGCTGGGCTGCGTTCAGCCCCGACAAAAACGGTGCAAAACGTTTTTTTTAAACGAAAACGGTGGTGCGTTGAACACCCTGTTCTGATGACGCAAGAGTTGCAGCTATGGCAGCTGAGAAGGCCATTCTTTTACAAAAATACTAAACTTAAATGTATTTAAATACAAAATAGTATTTTGTATTTAAAATGCATGTATTTGAAATACTGCCCATCCCTGGCTGTTAGTAAGTTACAGATATTTCAAGTTATTTATAGGAATGATGAAGGTATCATGCTTACCATGGTCATTTTTCTGAAGGGTTACAAGAGCTCGTGGAATAAAAAGAACATATAAGAATCTGCAAGCAACTGAAATAACCTGCAAACCTACTACCAGTCCATGATAAAATACAGGTGGCGTAAGCATGATAAAAAGCGTATACACGTTTGTATTGTGCAGTGTGTCTCTGCTATTCGACGCTCCAACCCACGTGACCGGAAGTAAATACGGTTCAGCAGCAATTCCCGCGTTCGGCGACTTTTGTCTTTCAATCACTAGCGTAAACTTGAAGTAGCAGCCAGTCGTTCCGGATATGGATGACCTGTATTTAGACAATATTGACGAATTTGTCAATGATCAAAATAAGATCGTAAGTCGTTTTTTATAATGATATCGTTCTTGTCATCGTAAATGTGAAATGTTGGTTGATATACCAAAATGCTTTCAAGTGGCTGCATGCTTGTTTACTTGATTGTTCAGGGCTGGGGACCACGAGAAATATCGGTACCGAATGATTTTCATGCCGTTCTTTATTTTTGGTTATTTTTAGTGAAGCAACCACATGCGCGATCCCATGTTGCATCTTAACTTAATCAAATCCGACTCTAAGCGAACAAAAAAAAATTGTACTATACTTAATGCTAGTAAGAAATCAGTTTAGTTACTGACAGACTGTTAACGTGTAGTTAAATATACACATTACGAGTTTTATAGTAATCAAATGCCATTATTCAGTCTATACAGACTAAGCATGAGAATAGTTATTTGCTGCATTATCAACTATTCAGCATTTATATTTTGATTTTTGCAGGTCACCTACAAATGGCTCAGTTTAACTCTTGGAGTCCACGTCAACATAGCAAAACAGTAAGTCCTGTCCTTTTTTATGACACTTTTAAGGTATTCAAGCATCTGATGATCTGTTGGAATCACTAATGTTCATGTAACATTTTTGCAGAATGTTGTATCATTACCTGCAGCAGAAACGTAATGAAAGTTCAGGCACTCCCCTTCATGCCACCTACCTAGTATCTGGGAAGTGTGTTGAGAATGGTAGTACGGTAAGAGTTGAGATCTGATAATTGCTTAACCTTTGTGAAATTAATGTTTCCCAAATAATTATTATTTTAAGATCTGCAGTTGAATGTTTTCCATTGCTTTTAGTGCCACAAAGTGTCAGTAGTACGTGAGGACAAGCTTGATGGTAAGATTACCATATTTATATCTGTAAATTACAACAAAAAGCATTAATAATAGGCAAAAATGCATTAATCCTGGGCTAAAAAATGTTAGGCTTCTCTAATCTCACATAGGTGATCTTATATTTATATTTGTAATCTTTATAATTTAAAATATATGAATAAAATATATATATTTTTTAATTTATTCTGTGTTGTATTATCATTGTGTTGGCATCATTTTAATTTCGATTTAATTTAATTTATATATATATGTATTAATTTAAAATATAAATTAATTAATATAAATAAACAGTGTATTTTAATATTTAATTTTATTATATAAAAGCAGGAAATATAGGAAGAAAAAAACATTTATATAATATTTCATGTGATTTTCATTTTTAAATATTCAGTAGAGGAATTTTTTTTTGACAGCTGTTAAAGCAAAGATGGACATGACCATCAGTGTGCATGTGTACAGTGTGCAGAGAGCCGAGCTGAAGGATAGTTCACCACTTTACAATACAGATTATGATACTGTTAAGGAGAACCTAAAAAACTGCAACAAGTAAGTGATGCTCATATAACCTGTAATGTCACGTGCATGCATCATATGCTAAAGTTGTGCCACATCCAATATCTCTGGTCTTTCCTCAGGTACAGCGCTATACGTTGTGCTGCGGCGGTCTCTTTGTCATCTGCGGAACTGCAAAGAGCTCAAGAGATGGCTTTGGTCCCTCCAGTGGAGAAGGAAATCAGTAAACCTGGCTTGAATGAAAACACTTCAGCTACCTCCAAACCCAGTGCTAAGCAGCCCGCAGGCATCATGGGAATGTTTGCAAGCAAAAATGCTTCTAAGAGCCAAGAATCCAGCAAGGAAGTGAAAACAGAGCAGAAAGAAGATTCTTCTCTGGTAAGAGTGTAACTCTATAGTTTAATGTTGATGGAACACAAGACTGTGTGAGAAATTTATAATGGTTTCCTATGTTGTAGGTTGAAACATCAAAAAGCAAAACAGCCTCCAAAGCGAACCCGATGAGTAACTTCTTTGGGAAGTCTGCCCAAAGTGAGTGTTTTTCTTTCTTGTCTGCCAAAAAAAAAAAAAAAATGCAAGAAACAATGCGTAACACAGTAAACCAAACAAAACATTTTCCTCTGAAATTTAGAAAAGGCTGATGAAAAACCTAACAAAAGCATTAAAGAAGAGATGGACGGCAGCTCAACAGCATTGGCTACTGCAAGTATGAAACAGTCACAGACATCTCCCAAATCTGAGATTGACATTAAAGAGGAACAATCCAAAGTGTCCAATGCTTTGAAGGTTGAATCAAAAGACACTCGAAAGTAAGGTTTACTTTTTTTTTTTTATTTATACTTTTATATATATACTCATCTCATAAATGTGAACTAAAAGCTACATATGCTTCCTCCAAGTAAAACAAAGCGCCCTGAGGTTGTGGACTGTGACGATGAGAAAATGGAGAGCCAGCAGAAGAAGAGACGGCGGATAAAGAAGCCCCAGCCAGACAGCAGTGATGATGAAGGTAGGAAAGAGATAGGGGGAGAAAACAGAGTGGGGTGGGGGGAGGCTCACGTCATGCTTGGCAGATTTGAATCAGTCCAGATGAGGCACTCTGTGACCCAAAATGAAGAAAAACAAAGAAATACGTTCCCCCTCTGGGCAGAGTGCTGAATAAAATATAAAAATTGCTCTGACAAACAAAAGCTAATTAATAACATTCATTGTTTCTTCCCTTATTCTCTCTCTCTCTTTCTTCCGTCTGTCTGTATATACAGTGGGTACGGAAAGTATTCAGACCCCCTTAAATTTTTCACTCTTTGTTTGGCTGCAATATAACAAAGAGTGTAAAATTTAAGGGGGTCTGAATACTTTCCGTACCCACTGTATATACTGTATATATATATATATATATATACACATAGACTTTTATACTTGACATATGTCTCTTCTTCCCTCTTCCAGTTGTGCCAGATTCTCCACCCGTGCCTAATGTACACACTCCCAGCCCTAAAAAACAAGTGACGAGAGAGCCTGTTTCACACCAAGAAGTAAGCATTACCAACATCAATAATTACTAACTTTTTTAGAAGCAATTTCCAAACACTCCTACAGGAAGTCCCACCTCAAACTCGACATGCCAAAATGCCAGGTCAGTCAAACCAGTAGGGTCAAGGTTAACATGGGCAGTTAGCTACTGCCGATAGATGGCGTAAGAGAACTCATTCATGACCATTCAAAAGTAGTCATCTATTCATACAAAATGCTTTTCTTTCTTTCTTTTTTTGCAAAGAAAAACACTGTGTGCTATTCTCTTGTGACTAACAGATATCAATATACAAGTCATTAATTTACACAAATATCTTATTTGTATTTTCCATACAGTAAAATTGTCATTGATTATGTTCTTGGCTCGTTCAGGAGAGTTCAGAGGTGAAGAGGAGGAAAAGAAGGCGTGTTTTGAAGTCTAACACATTTGTTGATGAAGACGGTGCCTTTGGTAAGTATGTTGTCAGTTGGCATTTTCCATAGTTTTGATTAATGTTCCACAAATTTTTGGATGGCTGATACCAATATCTTAAGAGAGCAGAATGGCCGATATAAAGCTCATATATGGTTTTAAACTTTACTAACAATTAACAATTGCTGCCAATGACATTTATATTTATTTGACATATTTTGTCAATTAAAATAATAAAAAAAACAATATAAACAAGCATTCTTAGTGCTTTGAAAATAAAAGTCTAGTCAATGTCAAAATAAATGCTGGTCGAACATAATGTTTTGGCAGTTGCTGAAAAAATGGCAAATATCAATTGATATTGATCTGCTCCACGTACATGAACCATCAAATGCATCATAATCTGTTATATAAAGGATAATGATTTTAAAAATGCATCGTATTTAACAATTGGTTTCAATGCAAATATTGTTTTATTAACAGAATTTGTGGCACTTATGTCAGTTGCCACATACATTTGTTTCTGCTCATCTGTTTTATTCTTTTGTAGTTACAATAAAGGATTTACAGTAGAAGTACACAGGGCCAGTAAATAAATATGACGATGCACAGTGTTTTAAAAGTTAGGTAATTTAAAAAAGGTAATTCACATTATGCTTACCCTTTGTTTCCAGTTTAACCTGAAAAATTTCTTTTAAACAGGGTGTATAACATTGACTGAACTCTCTCCTTACTTTTACAAGCACATCATTTATAAGCACTGACAGAAACACTTAAACCATTGAGTAAATCATAAGTTATTTGACAGAAATACAGACGGCTGGCAAACAATTTTTGCTAAAACTGTTTATTTCAGATTATTTTTGACTTTATGTGGAGGAAATCTTCGTGTTTGAAGACCAAAAGCACAAATGTGTGTTTGATTCCTATAACTTTGCGCCACTGGTATTATTTTTGTACTTAGCACAGTGTCTAATATTACACATTCCTTAATGCCAGTTGTCTGTTCAGCACAAAAACTCTTTGAAGTGGATTTTTTTATTGTATGGTAACCAAATTCATATGTGCTTTTTTTTTTCTTTTCTTTATTTGTTTGTTATTATACATGATTGACCAGACCAAGATTTATAGCGTAGCCAGGAATGTGTATTGTTCTAAAACCTAGAGTGTTGTCTACAGAGGCAGTAATTTAAGACATAATAATAATAATAATAAGCACAATGTGAAGGCTGTTAATATTAATTACGCTGCCTGAGGAACTTTCTTTTGGCCAAAAAGAATGGCAACTTTGCGAAATCACTGTGACAAGTAAATCCCCGTGCGTATATACAGACCCCAAACCAGACACTTATATTCACCACATGTGTCTTGACAATGAATAACCAATGTTTCTGTTTTCCTAGTGACCGAGAAGGGTTATGTGAGCGAGTCTTACTCTGAGAGTGAAGAGGAACCTGAACCCAACAGTCAAGCCAAAGACTCGAGCTCACTCAAGCAGTCATTTGGAAAAAGAAAGGAAGAGAAAAAAGAAAAGAGTCAGAAGAAGACCTCTACTGCTAACAAACCTACAAAACAGCCATCCATCATGGGATTTTTCAAGAAGAAATAACTTTTAATTCTTTCATGGAATTTAAAGGAATAGTTCACCTGGAAGCGAAAACACGAGGATGAAGAAATAATGCCTTCATGTTTTTTTGGGTGAAATATCCCTTTAAGCACTTAATTTTCAGCAGTGACATTCCCATGAACCACATCTGATGCTGTAAGGAGGAAATCAATCTTCATTGTCGCTGTCACTCTTCAGACATTGAAACAGGAGATTTCTGCTTCTACATGAACAACACTTATCCATTCAACTTCACTTGCTGGATTTCAGTTCTGGGCCTGATAGGATTGTCTGTTGTAGTATGTAAATGTATGATCCTGCTGATCGAGCAGATTTCTTTACTATAAGCCAACCTGCACATGGCCAACCACCAATAATTCCCATACTGCCAGGTTTGTGGAGTCTGTCTATTTTTAGTATGTTTCTAGATAATAAATCAAAAGATAAAATAATTTTTCTTTTTGTTTGCATTAATATTCTTGTAAAAGAAATACCAATTGGTTTAGACAGAAATTTCTCTGACATTCATTAGTTAAGTCCATTATTACTCTGCTCAGTGGTCAAGATAATGTTTTTCTCTTGCTGTCTTGTTTGGTTCCGATGAGTCAAGTTGTTTTCTCCGAGCTTCATATTTCTATATGACATCAGTTTCTGGCTCCATAGTTGTGTTGATCTTGGACATTTCCATTTATCAAAACTAAACTTACTGTGTGGAAAGGCATGCCTCTGGAAATGCACATCAAAATCAGTCCAAGCTCTTCTGATCCAGTGCCACAGATGTGAAATTGAGCGTTTTGTGCCAAGACATCATTCCCCATAAACTCACTTTTTTCCCTGAGGAAAGGCTCCTAACTTAGGCCTGAGTTAGTATGTGCGATTGAATTCAAGAACAGAGTGTTCTTTATATTGTTGTAAAACATTTGTATTGTGCTTTCAAACCTGGGGTCCAGGTAAGTGAGAATTTCTGATTGCTTTGTATATTGAATAATCACAATTTTTCCTCTTTGTGATCATTTGATATGTAAAAAAAAAAAAACACTTGACACCAATTACCTTATCCAGCTGCATTCTGTGAAGAAAAACAATTTGGTTTTGTTTGTTTTGTGCAGTTAGGTGTTTGCTCGTTCCCTTAGCTCACCCTTGCAGGCCTCTCGCTGGGCAGTCAGATGTAGACTGGGGTGAGGCGCCTGTACTGGATACCTTATCAAACAGCCGTTTAAAATTTTGGGTGCCTCATTGTCTGAGAAAATCCTTTGCTCGATTGCATAGCTGTCGTTGGAAAAATGCGGCAATGGTTTTGGCTCGCCGACGCTTCGGGAGAGTGCGGTTAACTGTTTCCTGGTTTACCTTCAGTCTTCAAAGGTGCACTTGTTCAGCTACCTATTTGGATCCTTTTGGTTTCCATATAAACCACTAATGCACAACAATAATGGAACAATGAAAAAAAAAAAACCTATATTAAATTGAAATAGTGCAATTTGCAGCCCGATTGCTAGTGAAGAATACTGGCTGCATTTTTAGATATTTATGTCATGATTTACTCATCCTCTGTTGAGGTAGGATATTACACAATGCTATTAAAAATTATGTGAAGGGGAAAAAACGAGGTATGGAAGCCCAAATTGAAAAGGTAACTGGGACTTTTTATCTCACAATTCTGGCTCCTTTCTCGCAATTCTGAGAACTGAATTATTTTTCAGAATTGTGAGATATAAATTCAAAATGGCGAGATATAAACTCTCAATTCTAAGAAGTCAGAATTTTAAAATCGCAACTGCAAGAAAAACTGTCCGAATTCTAAGCTTATATCACACAATTCAGATTTTTTTCTCTGAATTCTGTGTATATGTCGCTATTCTGTTTACCTCGCAATTCTGAGAAACAAAGTCCAAATTGTGAGATTTTTTTATTCCACAGATGAATCAAGCTTCTATAATAAGGTTTATTTTCCATTAAAGAAAAATAAATGTGGCAAGAGTCATCATTTACCACATCCATTTGTGTAACACTTAAAGGGGTCATATGATGTTGCTAAAAAGAACATTATTTTGTGTATTTGGTGTAATGCAATGTGTTTATGCTGTTTAAGGTTAAAAAAAAACATTATTTTCCACATAATGTACATTATT